TCTGAAGCTGGGAAGGGTGAGTGTCCCCTACTTCTTTGACTTGTGCAAACCTCACCTGAACCTGATGAGGACATTCCTGTTTGTGACAGCTTGTCCCACCTCCCTCCCTCCCACTGGAAACATCTTCATGAAGGGATTGAAGGCTCTCATTCATGACACTAAAGAGCGATTTAAGCTTTCGAAGTTGTGCAATCCTATTGAGTTAATTTTTTACAAGCCCTTGGTCAGCCTGGCGTGGGTGAGACATGAGCAGGTCGGGTGGGGGGAGCGGTGTCGGGAGGGAGACACGTGGCATTCGTCACTTTGTGAATGTGAATGGTTTGAGCATCTTCAACCACTAACTCGTGGGTGCTTCGTGGTTCATCTTTGAGTTGATAAAACCCAAAATGAACAAAGCAATCATTTAGATTTTCTCTGATTTCATAGCAAATTAAAATTCCGTGGGTGATTTTTATTTGGTATTTTTTTTTTTGTTTGCTTTTGAAAGAGGATCTCATGAAGACCAGGCTTTCCTTGAATCCACAGAGATCTGCCTACCAGTCTGCCTCCCCTACTGCTGGACCGAAAGGTGTGTGACATCATACCTAGCTAAATCCATGTTATTTTTAGCTGGAAGAAATATCCTTGTCATAGTAAAACAAGATCTGTTACTAGAGTGTTCCTTAGCCAGGCGCTGGGACTCTTGGTACACCTTTTTCCTTCTCTGAGACCCATTTTATCCTCTCGAAATTCCTTTCCGAGTTCAAATCCTAAGTCTCGGTGAAATGTTTGAATTTTAAAGTGTTGGTGTACACTAGTGTCTCGATAAATACCTGTCACACAGAATAATGGGCAGTTCAATCCTGAATGCAGGGCAAGAAGAGAAAGGAGATAGGTTCATTTTCTGGAGTTGTTTGTGGTGCAGGATCAGAGATGGCCATACATGGGGCTGCTAACCAGAGCCCCTGCTTAGTGTTCCTCTTTGGGGGCTGCTGGTGAGGGGAAGGCAAGAGGGGAAGGTAGCTGAACCTGGACAGTTGCTTGCCATGCATAGAAAAAATGGTCCAGCAGAAGCTAGGTGAAGGCCCACTAACTTAAATTACCTTCTGTAACTTGGAGCAGACACCGAGGCTTACATGCAACAGTAGACACCAGCTACCCCCGCCCCAGATTTCTGGGTAATTGGCTGGTTCACTGGTGATAAAATCCATACCTCTTTGGCCTCTTGCCATTGTGCTGGATGCGGAGAGATGGCTTTATCCTAACTTTGGGTTGCCTGGAGAGGGTTAGCCATACAAATATTGCTTTCTGACATCTTTAGCAGATGTTCCAGGAAGGCTAAGTAGAGGATGGCGTAGCAGGAAAATAAAGAACTGGGGGCAGAGGGATATGGGTGAACAGATAAAAGTCCAGGAAGCCAATGTGCTCTTTCTGCTCATGGGATGGAGAAACACGGGGAGATTCAGCTCCCTCCGTCGCGTTCAGTGCTGGAAACGGAGTGAACACATCTTGACTCCCACTTTCCATTAAGTTTGCTTGTTTGGTTTGCTTTGGTTTGGTGTTGAGACAAGGTCTCACTGTGTAGCCCTGCCTGGCTTGGAGCTGGTCTCAAATGGCTCTTTCTCCTGAGGGCTAGAATTAAAGGTATACATCACCTCACCCAGCTTGCAAGGCAATTTTAGGCTTTAGATAAATCAACTCAAGATTTATAGCATCTATTAAAATGTAGTGAAACCTTCTCAATAATAATAGTTGGCAATGCTGTTTTTAAATGCATCACTATCCCCTTTTCATATTGGATTATACATAGGGCAATATGTAAAGAGCTGTGACCAATCAACAAGAAACACAAGTCCCCATACCAAGTGTTTGCAATGTTCCAGGTCTGAACTGTGCACTTCTCTGTGAAGCCTCTCATTTCATATAATGACTGTTCTCGGGTGGGGTGCCTAGAACGTAGGAATTATTTTTATTCTCTTTGTAGAGAGGGAGAGGTGACACAGGATGCGCATCAGCTACCACCTGGCGAAGGTCGAGTTTGACTCAGAAACGTTGTTTTCAGAGTGTGTCCTGGTGACCTAGGAGATCCTGCTCAAGAGCCCACCTACCACAGAGTGAGGCAGTGCACCTGAACTGGCTTCCACCCCTTCCTCCTCTTCTTCTGGGGTGACAGATACGGATGACCCTCTCTCCTGCCCCATTCTCTCTGTCTTCCCGGGGCTTAGGAATTTGGACAATTTCCCCGGCTGCCGTACATTATGTCTAAGGGATACTGCCTGCATTTGCCTTCCAGTATCTCTACCGGGGTCCATATGCTCTCATACACATCCCATATAAAAGGGAAGCCTCTGATCAAATGCATTGTCCCAGAAGATGAGCTATTGGATGACTGCATTCATAAAATAAGGCGAAAGTAGGGAAATTCACAGAGAGAGAGCAGTCTCTGTCAGTGGTCACCCAGGACTAGGAAGCGGGGTGACATGGGGCATGACAGCTAAGGTGTGTGGGGTTCCTTTTCCGTGTGGTGAAATGGTTCCATCATCGATCATGATGTTGGTTGTGCACCTCTTTGAACACTCCCAAGTTGCTGGGTTGCACAATTTAGATCAGTGACTTACACATCATGACTAACACCTGTTAACAGTACAGCTGTTAAAACAAGCAAATAAAAACTCAGAAAATAAAGCACACCATCCCTCTGAGAATCCAGGTAGCATTTTGATTTATTAATTTATGAATTCCATTTTTGGCTAGGCGGTCTGCTAGCCATGAGAAACAATGGGGAGAAAGAGGGAAGAAATCTGAAAGAGAGGCGGTCAAATTCCAGTGGGTCATTACGGGAGCATCTCTTGCCGAGAGAACAGCCAAGAGGAATCAAGCTGTAATGACCTAGCAGTTCAAGAACATCCTTGACAACAGGCTACATTTGAGGTTAGGACCCTGACTCCAAAAAGCCTACTGGGACTATCCTGAGAACTGAAGATATGGTATAGTACTGATTAGGACGAGAGTTTCAGGGTTCATTAGGTTCAGACTAGAGAAAACACAGAAAATGGGCAAGGACTAAGAAGAGTGAGATTCTCATTACGGCATGAACCAGACGATCTGAAAGAAACAATAAAAGTGAACCAATATCCATCCAGTCATAAAGTTCCTTAGACTGGCTGTGTACTCAAAGTCTCTTTGAGGAGGTGACAAGCCCTGAAGCTTGAATAAGAACTGGCCTTGGGAAGTCTATGAGAAGAATGTTATTAGCACATGCATGTGTGTATGTACACATATATGCATATACACATGCATTGTTGTTGTTTCAAGGAAGAGATAGTGTAAACATAGAAGAGAAATAAGAAGTCCCTTAGTAAGACAAGGAATCAATAATAGGAAATGACACATTAAGAAAATGAGTTCATTATATAGGAAGTACTTTTTTTTTAAAGTTTCTGTTTGTCTGTATGCTTGCAGGCCAGAAGAGGGCACCAGATCTCATTACAGATGGCTGTGAGCCACCATGTGGTTGCTGGGAATTGAACTCAGGACCTCTGGAAGAGCGGTCGATGCTCTTAACCTCTGAGCCATCTCTCCAGCCCCTATATAGGAAGTACTTGAAGGAGTTTTTGTGCAGTGATAATTTTATTTATCCTTGTATGTTTAGGATCAGGGATGCCGATTGGCATTTAGCACTTGTGTTATGAATGAATCAATAGAAGAGAGAGTGGAAGGAAGGGGTAGCTGAATGTTTCCAAGACAATGAATAGCAAGGGAATCCACAGCACACAGAAGGAGAGGCACCGCTGAGGTACAGAGAGTAGTTGGAAGAAGAGCCAAGTCTTCCTGAACAGGGACAAGAAGTAGAGCCCCCTCCTCATAGCTGGGGACTTTTCTGGGGAAGAGGAGGTCGTTTTATGAAAGAAGGTCAGGTGCACGTGGCTCAAGCTTGCAAGGACTGCCGTAGGTTTGAACACCCAGGCAAGATTGCATACCATGTAACCATGGCAGTGCCAATAGCCACGCCTAGCGGGTTACATCCCATGGGGGGTAGTTCATAGGTGATATGGAATGGGGAGCCCAAGAAGCAACCTGATATGGAAGTCAAGAAGGAGCTCAGACAAGAAGACAAGGGAACAAGGCCACGAATCTCCAAAGAGCCTGGAGCCAGAAGCCTGGGAAGCAGGGGAGAGAACAGCAAGTGTCTATGGGGGGGGGGAGGATTTCCTAGTTCCCCAGTAGTTATGCACTTGTGCAAACCAGAGTGCTTTACAATTTAACGATAGCTACCTTTTATATCATAGACACTCCTTGAAGCGACGCTAAGGGTTTTATTTACTCGGTTTCAACTAATACTCATAGCATCCCTGTCTTATTGATGAGAAACTTGAGGCTGACTGAGGTTAAACACACTGCTTACATTTCTTTCTAATTAGGAAAAAGAAACTGCATCTGGCCAATAAAGCTTAAGCCCCACACTGATATAAATATTATTCTGGTTGTACAACAACATTTGACTCCTGCATCCTTTTCTTGTGGGCTGATAACCCGGGGCTAGTTCTGTCAACTCATTGGGCATTGCAGGATGAAGTCCAAGTTTCCTACGGTGACTCACGAGGCGGGTCAGAGTCCAAAGCCACACTCGCCTCTGTGGACACAGGCTCCCACACCATGTGTTCCTGCTGGCCTCCACTGTTTTCGTTCTCTGGATGCAGCTGGCCAGCTTTTGTGCACCAGGCCATCTGGGGGTGGCATGCCCTTTGACCCGACTCCTTCAAGTCCTTCAAAGCGGAGGGTCACTATCACCTGAGTCCTTCTCCAAGCCGAAGAAAATAAGAACGTGCGGACTCTCATCTTTGCAGACCTCTAAGTGCAGGCGTTTTATTGCACTGAATGCCAGGGAGCTGGGGACTGCTTGACCAGGGTTCCTTCTCCAAGCCCATAGTTCCTGTCCCTTTGGTTCAGTGTTTCGCCACTTGGTTTCTTGTTTGTTTTTGAAACAAGGTCTCATTCTGTAACCCAGACTGGCCTCAAACTTGTAGCAATCTTCCATGCCTAGCTAAATGAAGAATTGGGCTTTTTTTTTTTTCCATTACTGGGAATTGAACCTTCTCAGTGTGATGCAAGTGAGCCTTCATTGAGCTACATCTCCAGCCTTTACCATCTCGAGGGATCTAGAAAAAAAAAAAAAAAAGAAAATGGTTTTGAGTTTTGATAGTGTTGATGATGGAAATTGGTTTTACCCTGGCTTATACCTCTGAAGCCAGATCTTGTTCTCAGAGTATCTTTCCAGTCTCTGGTAAAGGACAAAATGTCCACAAAGTTTTAAATGTGGTCAATAAATTCAAGATATCTGTGGCTAGCCGTGATGCAACTGCCATTCTATTAAAACGAATTCTAATGCTTTATAACTACCAAATTGAAGCAATCACACAGGTGATATAT